TTTTTTTGCCTGGTTTGGGGATTAAGGTAATGCTGGCCTCATAGAATAGGTCTGAACGTTTTCCTTCTGTTTCTATTTTTTGAACCCCTTCAGTGGAATAGGTATTATTTCTTCTTTGAAAGTTTGGTAGAATTCCCCAGGGAATCCCTCAGGCCCGGAACTCTTGTTTTATGGGAGGTTTTTGATCCCCTCTTCAAACTCATTACTGTTTATTGGCCTATTCAGGTTGTCAATTTCTTCCTTTTTCAATCTTGGCAGTTTATAGTTTTCCAGGAAGGCATTGATTTCCTCCAGATTGCTCATTTTTATTAGTATATAGTTGCTGATTATAATTTCTAATAGTTGTTTCTGTTTCCTTGGTGTTAGTCATGATCTCTCCCCTTTCATTCATCATTTTATTAATTTGGTTCCTTTCTCTTTTCTTTTGGATAAGTCTGGCCAGTAGTTTTTCAATCTTATTAATTCTTTCAAAGAACCAGCTTCTAGTTTAGTTGATCTGATCCACTGTGTTTCTGGTTTCTAATTCATTGATCTCTGCTGTAATCTTAATTATTTCTCTTATAATGTATGGCTTAGGCATCGTTTGTTGGTTTTGCTCTAGTTCTTTAAGGTGTAGAGTTAGTTTGTGAAATCGGGAGTTTTCTATTTTTTTGAGTGAGGCCTGGATGGCTATGTATTTCCCCCTTAGGACCACCTTTGCAGCATTCCATAGGTTTTGGAACGATGTGTTTTCATTCCCATTGGTTTCCATAAATTTTTTTAATTCTTCTTAGATTTCATTGTTGACACTAACATTCTTAAGCAGAGTGGCCTTTAGTTTCCAAGTTTTTGAATTTCTTCCAAAACTTTCTTATGATTGAGTTTTAAAGCATTATGGTCTGAGCATATACAGGGAATAATCTCAATCTTTTGGTATTGGTTGAGACCTGATTGTGACACAGTATGTGGTCTATTCTGGAGAAAGTTCCATGTGTGCTCAAGAAGAATGAGTATTCTGTGTTTTTAGGGTGGAATGTTCTCTATATATCTATGAGGTCCATCTGGTCCAGTGTGTCATTCAAAGCTCTTGTTTCTGTGTTGATTTTTTGCTTAGATGATCTGTCTATTGCTGAGAGTGGAGTATTGAGGTCTCCTAAAATTAACGTATTGTTATCAATACGACTCTTTATTTTGGTTAACAGTTCGCTTATGTAGATGGCTGTTCCCATTTTGGGGGTGTAGATATTTACAATTGTTAGATCTTCTTGTTGGAGAGACCTTTTAATAATGATATAGTGTCCTTCTGTGTCTCTAACTACAGTCTTTAGTTTAAAATCTAATTTGTCTGATATGAGAATTGCTACCCCACCTTTCTTTTGAGGTCCACTTGCATGGAAGATGGATCTGCACCCCTTCTCTTTCAGTCTGGATGTATCTTTAGGTTCAAAATGTGTCTCTTGTAGACAACATTCTAGTGGTTATCAATAATATGGAAATTGGGGATAAGTTATCCTTGGCTGAAGTTGCTAAAGAAACTACCAACTCTTTACATACATATGAATTAGACGATGAGACTTTAGAAAAGGCTAAGACTGAAAGTAAAAAAAATTTCACGGCTTCACAATCCCGGCCGTCACCCACGGCCCCTCCGCTTTTATTGGAGGACCCCACCGAAGATGATCAACCTCCCTCCACAGTAGATTTATTCCCTCTCAAATGATCCTCTCTAGCTCTCTCACCTCTCGAAAAGGAACTTTGATGGCAAGGGGCTAATGATCTATGGCTTTCCCTATAGACCAAACACAAGCTGCTGGTCCCGTCTATGAGGGATTAGATTTAAGTGCTTTAAGGGAACTAGAGAAGGTTTGCCACTTGTATGGACCCACAGCCCGTTACAGTATAGAGATTTTGAAAGCTTGGGTAAATTCTGGGGAATGGATCCCTCATAATTGGCAAGCAGTTGTGCAGTCTTGCCTTAAACTACAGGATTTATTACAATGGAAAGTGTGGTTATTGGATGCTGCCTATATGAAAGCCCAGGCGAATCGGCTATCCCAGCCATGCATCATATTTCTTTTGAAATACTCACTGGCTCTGTCCCCTTTTCAGATATTCAAAAGCGTTTGGTGTACACTCTACCTGCAGCCGCAGTGGAAGTATCTGAAATCACCCTTGCAGCTTGGGAAAAGCTAACCTCTTCAGGGGAAGTGGGGCAAAGTTATATAAAAATTGTGCAAGGCCTTACAGAAGCATATACTGATTTTATTTCTCGGTTTGAAGGAGCTATTGGCCACCAAGTTGATAATAAACCTGCTAAAGAGCACTTGCTAAGACAGCTTGCTTTTGATAATGCTAATGATGACTGCCAAGCAGCCATTCGGCCACATAGAGAAACAGGAGGTATTCTCGATTATCTTCATCTATGTAGAAATATTGGCACTCTTACACATCAAGCTCAGATAGCTTCCCTTCAGCTCATGGCCCTACAAAAACAATAGGATATAAAATGTTATAATTGTGGAAAAATAGAACATGTCAAGAAGGAATGCCATAAAGCCCCCCAACCTAGAGTCAATTCTCCTTTTAATACCGCCCCTAACCTCTGCCCTCGTTGTGGCAAAGGCAATCATTGGGCCAAGGAATGCAAATCCAAATTTGACAGGCAAGGTAACCCACTCCCATTAAGGTTGGGAAACAGGATGAGGGGCTACCCCCGGGCCCCAAACAACAACGGAGGATTCAATATGTCACCTCTCCAGCAGCAACTTCCTGCTGCACACATAAACCCTCCATGTTATCCCTCAGTCCCGCTACCCAGGGAAGTGTCACAGTATATTTAACCACAGTAAGTCTTCACCCTGGTCTCGGGCCTCAAAAAATACCCACAGGTTATTACAGATCTTTACCAAGAGGAATTGTGAGTCTTGTGCTAAGAAAATCTAGCCCAAATCTTAAAGGAATCCAGGTGATGACTGGAGTAATAGATTCTGACTATGACAGAGAAATAATGGTGGTCGCACAGACTCGGGTTCCTTGGACATTTAAGGGAGGAGATAGAATTGCTCAGTTAATATTATTGCCCTATGTACAAATTGGTCAGTCCCAACAGATCAGACGAGGAGGATTTGGTAGTACTGATCCTCTCATGGTTAAATGGGCTTCATTATTAACTCAGACTTATTGTCCTTCTATGACTCTTAAAATTAGAGGAAGGACTTTCTCAGGTCTAGTAGATTCTCGAGCCAATATTTCAGTAATAGCCTCCCAGCATTGGCCTAATACTTGGCCCACGCAAGCAACCTCTAGTTCAGTAGAAGGAATAGGTTTTGTGACGGCAGAAGAAACTTGACAAAGTAGTGTGCCACTTAAATGTGAGGGACCAGATGGATTAGATGGAGTTATCCAGACTTTCATCTTAAATACCCCCATTTATCTTTGGGGAAGGGATCTCTTGCAACAATGGGGAGCCAAGTTAATCATCCCCCATGTCAACCAGCTAATCAAATCATGACAAAAATGGGCTATAAACCAGGATAGGGCTTAGACAGACAACATCAAGAAATCACGGAGCCTATCATTGCCCAAGGACAAACTCATAGGGCTGGACTGGGTTACCCGTTTTTCTAGGGGCCACTGAGGAAAAGAGGCCTGCCCCTATTAAAATAACATGGAAAACTTCCTCCCCAGCTTGGACTCTTCAATGGCTCCTTCTGATAGAAAAATTGTAGGGCTTAGAACAAATTATTCAAGAGCAATTGCAGGCAGGACATATAGAGCATTCGCAATCTCCTTGGAACTCTCCTGTTTTCGTTATCAGAAAGAAATCAGGTAAGTAGGGGCTCTTAATAGACCTTTGGAATGTTAACGCCATCATGGAGCCTCTGGGTGCCTTGCAGCCTGGGTTACCTACTCTTACAACCATTTCCAAACAATGGCCATTGATAATAATAGACCTTAAGGACTTTCTATACCATAGCCATTCACCCTGAGGATAAGGAGAAATTTGCCTTTTCTATTCCCAGCACTAACAATAAGGAACCAAAGAGACGATATCAATGGAAAGTTTTGCCACAAGGCATAACTAATTCTCCTACCATGTGTCAGTATTGTGTTGGCCAGGTCCTCAGACCTGTAAGAGATCATTATCCTCAATCCTATATCATTCATTATGTGGATGATATTTTGCTGGCATCACAAACTGAAACAGAATTTCAAAAGGTGTATCAAGCCACTTCCCAACATTTGACTTCCGCCAGTCTCATAATAGCCCCGGAGAAAATCCAAACTACTCTGACTTCTTATCTAGGCACTGTGGTAGATAGAACCACAGTGAAATCTCAAACAATGCAAATTCATAGGGATACCATCCTTACACTTAACGATTTTCAGAAACTCCTAGGAGTCATTAATTGGATTTGCCCTCTCCTAGGGATTCCAACTTATAAATTACAAAATTTATTTAACACTTTATAAGGTCATTCTGCTTTAGATAGTCCTCGCACTCTATCCTCAGAGGCAGAGGCTGAACTGCAGTTTGTTGAGGAGCGATTAAAAACTGCCTTGGCTTACAGGTATGATGATTCTCTCCCCCTGCTTCTTCTTATTTCCCCTACCCTTCATTCTCCGACTGGTGTCATAGCACAAGAAGAAAAACCTCTCGAATGGGTGACTTTACATACAAAAACTTCTCGAACTGTTACTCCATATCTATCTCTTGTCTCTTCACTCATTCTCCAAGGATGAAAGCATTCTATTCAAATTCTTGGTTTTGACCCAGCACTCATTGTTTTACCTATCTTTTCCACATCTTCTAAGGAAGTCCTTCCTTTCTCTACTGATCTGCAAATATCTCTTGCTGATTATCCTGGGCGCATAGGTTGCCACTATTGGTCAGGTAAAGTATGGGACTTCCTAAAGTGCACTGCCTGGGTTATAAATCACGTAGTTTATAACGCCCCAATCCCCTCAGCTCCTACATACTTAATTGATGGCTCTTCCTCCGGGCGTGCCAGAGTCTGGGGCCCTGCTATTCAGCGCTCCATAAAAACCCCTTACACTTCTGCTCAACAGGTCGAACTTGCAGCTTTATTGTTCTTATTGCAGAATGTTTGTTATTCTATAAATATCGTATCTGATTCTGCTTATGTAGTTGGCATTTTTGCGCCTTTGGAAACAGCTCCTATTTCCACAACTCATTCTATCATTAACCCTTTGCTTCAGGAATTACAATTAGAAATTCAATCTCGAACTCACCCTTCGTTCATTACTCATATCTGCTCTCATTCTAACCTCCCTGGCCCTCTTACACAGGGAAATCAGTCTGCTGATTTATTGGCTACACTTTTGAAACTCCACAAGCAGAACATGCCCATCCTCATACCAACGCCAACTGCCTTCATTCACACTATAAAATACTCTTGTGCTCTGCCAGGCAAATAGTCTCTTCCTGTCCTATTTGTCGACCTCTACATTTAATTGAGCATCTGGCGGGCATCAATCCCAGAGGCACAGCTCCTGATTGTATTTGGCACATGGACATTACTCATTTTCCCACTTTCGGACTCCTCTCATATATTCATGTCACAATAGACACCTTTTCAGGATTTCTTCATGCTACTCCTTTGGTGGCAGAAGAGGCTAGGCATGTAATTTCTCATTTGCTTGAATATTTTGCTATTATGAGGTTACTTACTTGTATCAAGACAGACAATGGCCCAGCATATACTAGCAATAAAGTACAAGAATTCCTTGCAGAAGGGCAATTACAGCATATCACAGGTATTCCTTATAATCCTCAGGGACAAGCTGTAGTGGAGAGGGTGCATGCCACCATTAAAAAACAACTCCATAAAACTATGTCTAAAAAGTAAGGGGGAATCTCCCCCTGAGACGTCATAGCACAAACCTTATTTATTTTAAATTTTTTAAATTTACCCCAAGGAGAACCATATATTAGAGTTGACAAACATTTCTTGCCAGCCTCAATCTCAACTCAGGACACAACCGTGTGGCTAAAAAATGAGGAAAATAATTGGTTGCCCAGGAATTTAATTACTCAAGGCCCTGGTTATGCTTGTGTCATTCCAGATGGATCCAATCAAGCAATTTGGATACCTCTTTGGAAAGTCCAGCCCAGGACCAGCAATAAAGACAACAAAAGAGTTCTCTCAGCTGCTTCAGGGATTGACTACCCAACCCCCTGTCCAAGAGATGGCAACACTCTCCCTGAAGAGACCTCAAAAATGAAAATTGCCCCCGACAACACCCCCAACTTGGGCGCAACTGAAGACCCTCACTCAGAGGGCGGAGCGAGTCCAGGAGACGACCAGATCTATCAAAACCCCTGAACATTTGTTCCTGGCTATGTTAGTGGTGGTGACATTCTCCACTGCGGTAGGTGAAAAACACACCTACTGGGGATATGTACCCCATCCTCCCTTATTGCGTCTAGTTGAATGGACAGAATATGGATCTACTTTTTTACAAATGACTCTACTCATCTCCCAGCACCTTGGTCCTCTGTACCCCCATATAAACCAGAAGAAGAAGGGACCCTTATGAATATCTCTTTGGGATTTGAAACATTACCCTTATGCTTAGGACAGAAAAAAAATATGTCTCCCCCTTCACCAACGAACTTGGGCCCATATCCTTCCCCTGACCAAATCATACAGAATCTTGGGAATAAAGACCGATTATCATTTAATTTTAGTGAGGTCAACACAACTAACACATTGGGAAAATCTGATGATACTGTCTGTACTTCAATCTCCTATAAACATTATGTTTTTGAGCCTATATACTGGTCCTGCTGTAGGGTTCCCATGGAAAAATCCTTCTGTTAAATAATAGAATGGTGGTAGATTGGGGCCCCCATGGGAAGTTTTTAAATAACTGTTCTGAGGATGTGAATAGCACCACATGTGGTTACATTACTAATATTAGGTGGAATCACACTGACCATGGTACTTATACCCTTCATCATACTAAAGGGTTAATGGCATGGCATGAAGGAGGACTGGCACCTCCTCAGCCTCCTTTGGTAACCAATAAAGACCATGTGGGGCTGGAAAATTGGGATCTTTGGAAGCTCCCAGCTGCACTGGCATCTTTATAGTTTTATGCAGGAAATTTCTCAGGGGCATCTCAGTCTTTGAGTAATTATTGGTTTACTTACAATTCTTCGAGATCCATACAAGCCTGTGTTCATTTACCTTATCTCATCGCAATAGGAGGAATAGAAGCTAACTATACTATGAGGAGCATAGTATACAATTATACTACACAACTCCTGGTTGTATACTCGTCTTAATCGTACCATCCCTTTTAACAGCAGTATGGATTCCATCCTTCTTCTCCAGGCCCATATGGGGGTTGGGATTCTGGTAAATCTCACAAGAAGATGGGAAGAAAACACTGTTGAAGGTCTCATGTTAAAAATGTTGAGTGAGTTACTTTCCCACGGATGACGTTTTGTAGCTACACTAGTACTTGTCATTCTGGGGCTGATTGGTATTGCCACAACAGCAGCAATAGCTGGGGTGGCCCTGCAAACGTCCTTGCAGACTTGCGACTTTGTCAAAACCTGACAAGAAAAATCACACAACCTCTGGCTCACGCAGAGCAAACTGGATAAAGAATTACAATCAAAGGTTAGCGAATTGCAAAAAGCCATAAAATGGATAGGGGATCAACTTATTGACTTACAACAGCAAGTTTTTCTTAAGTGTGATTGGAATTCCAGTCCGATCTGGACTGGATAGGGACACGGTAGGGATCGTGACTCCCTATCCCTTTAATGTTTCCAAACACACTTGGGAACAAATTAAATATCACTTACAAAACATCCGTGGTAATTTATCCCTAGACATGCAGACTCTACAACAAGAGATGTTTGAGACCTTTAAAAATGCCCTCCCAAAACTCAATATGGGCAACTAGCCTCTGATATCACTCATGTGCTGGAAGTTCTGGATCCCTGGGGATGGTGGCAGAGTATCACCCATAGTTTTAGTAGCAGCTCACTTTTTGCAATTTTAATATGTTGCCTTATATTTCTCATAGGATACTGTACCCTCTAAAAACGAGTGAATGCCCAAAACCTCCATCACAGAGTGCTTATGGCAGTGGCTGTTTTGAAAAAAGAAAGGGGGAGCTGTGGGAAACAGAACGCCACAACGACCACTGGTGCATGTTCGTTCAGACTCTGAGATCTCTGAGAAAACTCGAGATTGCAGGGTTAAAAATAACCTGAAAGGATCAGAGTGAAATGCCCTTGGGTTGTGTGTGGTCTGTTCTAAAGTACATAGCAGAAGATGTTTTGTAGATAGGAAGCCAGCTGTAAAAAGCACACTGTGCATTTCCTTCTTTGTTCTCATCTTGTGTTAAGGTCTGAGTACAATGGTGTTTACAATTAATTGATCACAGCCAGTTACAGATTTCTTTATTCCTTCTCCACTCCCACTGCTTCACTTAACTAACCCTGTGTACTTGGAAGAATGTGCCTTACTAAGCCCCTGCTGTAAATCATTAGAGATCTATATCATTGTAGAAGGTATATTAGATTATGGAAAATAAACCTCGGGACCTCAGTCTGTTTGCTTGGGGTCCCCTGTGCCTCGCTATACTGTCGTCTCTTTTTCTCAGTTCCTTCACCACCCCAGGTCCCCAACTCTCTGAGGTCGACAGTATCCTATGATTTTTGCTGTAGTTGCAAATGGGATCAATTCCTTAATTTCTCTTCCTTCAGACACATTGTTAGTATATAGAAAAGTGACTGATTTCTGTGCATTGACTTTGTATCCTGCCACGTTGCTGAATTGTTGTATGAGGTCTAGTAATTCTGAGGAGTTTTTTGGGTATGTCATCTGCGAAGAGACAGAGTTTGACTTCTTTGCAAATTCGAATGCCTTTTATTTCTTTTTGTTGTCTGATTGCTGGGGCTAGGACTTTTAGTACTATATTGAACAAGAGTGGTGAAAGTGGGCATCACTTTTGTGTTCCTAACCTTAAGGGAAAAGCTCTTAGTTTTCCCCATTGAGAATGATATTCGCTGTGGGCTTTTTACAGGTGGCTTTTATGATATGGAGGTAGGTTCCCTCTACCCCTACACTTTGAAGAGTTTTAATCAGGAAAGGATGCTGTATTTTGTCAAATGCTTTTTCTGTATCAATTGAGAGATTCTTGTCTCTTCTTTTATTAATGTGTTCTAGCATGCTGTTTGACTTGCCAATGTTGAACCACCCTTGTAGCCCAGGAGTAAAACCCTCATGGTCATGCAGAACAAACTTTTTAATATACTGTTGGATTCTATTGCCTACTAACTTGCTGAGCATTTTGCCATCCATTTTCTTCATGGATATATGACTGAAATTCTCCTTTCTGATGGGGTCTATATCTGGTTTTGGGATCAAGGTAATGCTGGCCTCATAGAACGAGTTTGGAAGTTTTCCTTCCATTTCTATTTCTTGAAACAACTTCAGGGGCACCTGGGTGGCTCAGTCAGTTAAGCTTCTGCCTTTGGCTCAGGTCATGATCCCAGGGTCCTGGGATCAAGGCCTACTTCAGGCTCCCTACTCAGGGGATCCTGCTTCTTTCTCTTCCTCTGCCTGCTGCTCCCCCTGCTTGTGCTCTCTCTCTTTCTCTCTGATAAATAAAATCTTGAAAAATAAACCAACAGCAATAGAATAGGTATTATTTCTTATTTAAATGTTTGGTAGAATTCCCCCGGAAAGACATATGGCCATGGACTCTTGTATTTTGGAAGGTGTGTGATTACTGTTTCAAATTCCTTGCTAGTTATTGTTCTGGTCAGATTTTCTCTCTTCCTGTTTCTTTCTTGGTAATTTATAACTTTCTAAGAATTCATCCATTTCTTACAGATATTTAATTTGATGGTGTATAGTTGTTCATAATATGTTCTTAAAAAATTGTATTTCCTCGGTGTTGGTCATTATCTATCCCCTTTCATTACTGATTTTATTAATTTGTGTCTTTTCTCTTTTCCTTTGGATAAGTCTGGGCAGAGGTTTACTGATCTTATTAATTCTTTCAAAGGACCAGTTTCTAGTTTCGTTGATATGTTCTACTACTCCTCTACTTACTATTTCATTGAATTCTGCTCTAATCTTTCTTGATTCTCTTCTGCTTGGTCTAGGCTTCATTTACTGTTCTTTCTCTAGGTCCTTTAGGTGTAAGGTTAGTTTGTGTATTTGGAATTTTTCTGAATTGTTTTGAGAGAGGTTTGGACTGCTATGTAATTCCTTTTTAGGAACTACTTGCTGTATCCCCTAGGTTTTTTAATTATAGTGAATTTAAATTTATTTTCAATAGGTAATTATAAGATTATTTAATTTATTTTTTATTATGTTATGTTAGTCACCATACAGTATTTCATTAGTTTTTGATGAAGTGTTCCATGATTCATTGTTTACGTATAGCACCCAGTGCTCCACGCAATATTTGCCCGCCTTAATAATACCCATCACCCAATTATCCCATCCCCCCCACCCCTCTCCCTTATAAAACCCTCAGTTTGTTTCTCGGAGTCCATACTCTCTCATGGTTGGTCTCCCCATCTGATTTTCGCCCCTTCATTTCTCCCTTCCTTCTCCTAATGTGCTTCATGCTATTCCTTATGTTCCACAAATAAATGAAACAATATGATAATTGACTTTCTCTCATTGTCTTATTTCACATAACATAATCTCCTCCAGTCCCATCCATGTTTGTGAAAAGTGGGGTAATCCTCCTTTCTGATGTCTGAATTATATTCCATTGTATATATGGACCACATCTTCTTTATCCTTTCATCTGTTGAAGGGCATCTTGGCTCTTTACACAGTTTGGCTATTGCAGACGTGCTGCTATGAACATTGGGGTGCATATGGCCTTTCTTTTCACTACATCTCTCAATAGGGTAAATACCCAGGAGTGCAAGTGCTTGGTCATAAGGCAGCTCTATTTTTAATTTTTTGAGGAACCTCCACACTATTCCAAAGTGGCTGTACCAACTTGCATTCCCACCAACAGTGCAAGAGGCTTCCCCCTTCTCCACAACCTCTCCAACATTTGTTGTTTCTTGCCTTGTCAATTTTTGCCATTCTAACTGGTGTAGTTTTGATTTGAATTTCTTTGATGGCTAACTATGATGAACATTTTTTTCATGTGTCTGTTGTCCATTTGTATGTCCTCTTTGGAGAAGTGTCTTTCATGTTTTCTGCCCATTTTTTACTTGATTATTTGTTTTTTGGGTGTTGAGTTTGAGAAGTTCCTTATAGATCTTGGATATCAGCCCTTAGTCTGTACTGTCATTTGCAAAAATCTCCCATTCTGTAGGTTGCCTCTTTGTTTTTTTTTTTTTTAAGATTTTATTTATTTATTTGACAGAGGAGACACAGTGAGAGAGGGAACACAAGCAGGGAGAGCGGGAGATGGAGAAGCTCAGCAGGGAGCCTGATATGGGGCTCGATCCCAGGACCCTGGGATCACGACCTGAGCCGAAGGCAGACGCTTAACTGACTGAGCCACCCAGGTGCCCCTGCCTCTTTGTTTTGTTGACTGTTTCCTTCATTGTGCAGAAGCTTTTTATCTTGATGAAGTCCCAAAAGTTCATTTTCAATTTTGTTTCCCTTGTCTTTGGAGATGTATCTTGAAAGAAGTTGCTGTGACTGATGTTGAAGAGGTTACTGCTTATATTCTCCTCTAGAATTTTAATGGATTCCTGTCTCACATTGAGGTCTTTCATCCATTTTGAGTTTATCTTTGTGTACGGTGTAAGAGAATGGTTTAGTTTCATTCTTCTCTATATAGCTGTCCGATATTCCCAGCACCATTTATTGAAGTGACTGCCCTTTTTCCATTGTATATATTTAGCTGCTTTGTCGAAGATTACTTGACCATAGAGTTGAGGGTCCATATCTGGACTCTATTCTGTTCCATTTTGTCTATGTGTCTATTTTTGTCCCAGTACCATGCTGTCTTGGTGATCACATCTTTGTAATATAGCTTGAAATCAGGCAATGTGATGCCCCAAGCTTTGTTTTTCCTTTTCAACACTTCATTGGTGATTTGGGGTCTTTTGTGATTCCATACAAATTTCAGGATTGTTTTTTCCATCACTTTGAAAAATGCCATTGGAATTTTGATCAGGATGGCATTGAAGGTATAGATTGCTCTGGGTAGCATAGACCTTTTAACATTTTTCTTCCAATCCATGAGCATAGAATGTTTTTCCATCTTTTTGTGTCTTCTTCAATTTCTTTCATGAGTTTTCTGTAGTTTCTAGGGTATAGATCCTTTACCTCTTTGGTTAGGATTTTCCAAGGTATCTTATGTTTTTTGGTGCTATTGTAAATGAGGCAATTATTTCTCTAATTTCTCTTTGTACAGGTACAATCTTAGTGTATAAGAAAGCAACTGATTTCTGTGCATTGGTTTTGTATCCTGGCACATTACTGAATTGCTATATGAGTTTTAGTAATTTGGGGGTAGAGTCTTTTGGGTTTTTGACATGAAATATAATATCAACTTGCATTCCCACCAACAGTGTAAGAGGTGAACTTCTCCAACATTTGTTGTTTCTTGCCCTGTCCATTTTTGCCATTCTAACTGGTGTAAGGTGGTATCTCAACGTGGTTTTGATTTGAATTTCCCTGATGGCTAATGATGATGAACATTTTTTCATGTGTCTGTTAGCCATTTGTATGTCTTCTTCAGAGAAATGTCTTTTCATATCTTCTGCCCATTTTTTGACTTGATAATTGGTTTTTTGGGTGTTGAGTTTGAGAAGTTCTTTATAGATACCAGCCCTCTTTATCTGTAGTGTCATTGGCAAATATCTTCTCCCATTCTGTGGGTTGCCTCTTCCTTTTTTTGACTGTTTCCTTTGATGCACAGAAGCTTTTTATCTTGATGAAGTCCCAAAAGTTCATTTTTGCTTTTGTTTCACTACCTTTTGGAGATGTATCTTGAAAGAAGTTGCTGTGGGTGATGTCAAAGTGGTTACTACCCATGTTCTTCTCTAGGATTTTGATGGATTCCTGTCTCACATTGCGGTCTGTCATCCATTTTGAGTTTATCTTTGTGTATGGTGTTAGAGAATGGTCGAGTTTCATTCTTCTGCATGAGCCTGTCCAATTTTCCCAGCACCATCTTTTTTCCATTGCATGTTTTTTCCTGCCTTTTCAAAGATTATTTGACCACAGAGTTGAGGGTCCATTTCTGGGCTCTCTACTCTGTTCCGTTGGTCTGTATGTCTGTTTTTGTGCCAGTGCCATGCTGTCTTGGTGATCACAGCTTTCTAATATAGCTTGAAATTGGGCAACGTGATGCCCCCAGCTTTGTTTTTCTTTTTCAACATTTCCTTGGCAATTTGGGATCTTTTCTGATTCCATACAAATTTTAGGATTGTTTGTTCTAGCACATTTAAAAATATCATTGGACCTTTGATTGGGATGGCGTTGAAGGTAT